TTTTTATCATCTACAGGTTTGATAGGCAGATCATCTGTACTTTCATCCAAATCAGTGGATGAACAACATAGGCATAAGGACACCTCTTTGGGGCAGTTCACTTGGGACCTCTCTCCATACTGATATCAATTCATCAGTTATTTCCCTTGTGGGGGAGGCAGTCATTCAAATAAGTTTTACCAGACTTTATGTTGAGTGCTGGGGATACAAAGACAAAAATAAAAGTCTTTGCCTTTAGTGAACATAATTGTTGACAAGGGACTTGGGCAGAATAGCATATATGCAGACAAGCAAAGGTAAGATATATGCAAAATAAACATAAAATAATTTCATGAAGAGGAAGAAAGTATTCACAACTGAGTGAACCAGGAAGGGCCATGTATAGCTAGTAATAGCGTTTACATAATGCTTTAAGGTTGGCAAAGCACTTTATATTTGTCTCATTCTGTCGTATAGCCTTAGGAGGTAGGTGCATTTATCCCCATTTTCCAGATGAGGAGCTGAAGCAGACAGATTAGGTGACCTGCCCATGGTCACACAGTATCTGAGGTCAGATTTGAATGCAGGTCTTTACAATTTCCAGGGTGGTATTGGAGGTGGTGTTAGAGTTGAAGATGGTTCCAAGAATTTGAAATTGATTGGCTGTAAAGCTGGTAGGTGGGTTTGGGAGAAAAAAAGTTAATTTGATTTTGCATACGTTGAGTTTGAGATGCCTCAGGGACATCCACAGTGAGATGTACATTAGATAATTGGAGATATGGAGCTGGAGCTCAAGAGCGAGAGATGATTGATGGATAAGTATATTTGATAGTTATTTGCATAGGGATAATTGAACTCCAGTTGACAATGTCACCAAGAAAAAGAGAAGAGGGGGCAGGACATGGGGAAGGATCCAACAAAGGAGACTGAGGATGGATTATGCAGGTAGGAGAAAATCTTAGGAAGAAAAGTCTCTAGGAGGGAGGGAAGTATTCATTCAAAAGCATCATACTAAGTCTTAGAAAGGTCAGGAAGAATGAGAACTAACTAAAAGCCATTAGATTTAGCCATTAAGAACTTGTTGGTCACTTTGGAAAGGGTAGCTTCAATTGAGTAATAAAATCAGATTGTAAGAGATTAAGAAGTGACTGGAAGGTGAGGAAATAAAGACGATGCATGTAGACATCCCTTTTCCAGGAATTTGTTCAAGGGAGAAGAGTATTATAGAACAATAGCATGAAGCGATGACAGAGTAAGATGAAGGATTTTTAAGGTTCAGGGAAACCTGGGTATGTTTGTGGGTGGTGAGAAAGGAGCCAGTAGATAAGGAGGCATTGAAGACAAGAGAAAGAAATGAAATGATTGAGCTGTCATAAGAGACAGGAAGATATGGAATCAAGAGTTGCAAGTGTGTGGAAATGAGAGGTTACCCTTGGTTAGAAGGTCGCATTTGATGTGGAGTTAGGGGAGAGCAGCTCATAATGGATGGCCTTTGTTTTCACAGTAAAGTATGAAGTGAGATCCTCTTCTGAAAGAGACAGGTTATGTTGGTGGTCTGAGGATAGAGGTTTGAAATAGCCACTGTGGAGAATGACACAGTCAAATCATAAAAGAGCAAAAGGATTGCTATACCTAGTGAGGGCCCAGTTGAGATTGGATAAAGCCACCTATCCACGTTATCACCTAGCCCACTTCTCTCCATCTTGTCCATAAAGGTATCATGAGACTTTGTCAAAAGTCTCTCTGAAATCCAGCTATGTTATCTGATCGTCACCTTTTGTGCTTTAGCAGCTTAGCAGCTTTGTCTTTTTTAAAGGAAGAGTCTAGCAAGATTTGTTTTTAAAATTTTCTTTTTATTAAAATTTTGACAAACACCATTTCTACATGCAAAGAGCAAAAAGAGGGTTTTTTACAAAAATGCAAATCAATGAAGAAATCAAAACAGTTTGTAGTCATAAAATGCTCTAAATCATTTATTAGAGAAATGCAGATTAAAACAACCTTGAGATATCATTTTACACCTACCAGATTGACTAAACTGATAGAAGGGGAAAGTGACAAATGTTGGAGAAGATGTGGAAAAAAATGGGACACTAATTCGTTATTGGTGGAATCATAAAATGATCCAGTAATTTTGGAAAGTAATCTAGAATTATGTCCAAAGAGTTATTAAACTACCTATATCATTTGATCCAGCAATCTCACTACTTGGTCTGTTTCCAAAGATGATTAGGGAGAAAGGAAAAGAACCTACATATTCTAAAATATTTCTTGCAGCTTTCTTTGTGGTGGCTAAGAACTGGAAATTGCTGGGATGCCCATCAGTTGGGGAATGGCTGAACAAGTTGAGGCATATGATTGTGATGGAATACTAGTGTTCTATAAGAAATGATAAGCTCAGTGATTTTAAAAAAAACAACATGGAAAGACTTGCATTGAAATGGTGAATGAAATGATTAGAACCAAGAGAACATTGTATACAGTATGTGCACTACTACTTTAAGACAACTTTGAACAAGTAAGTTGTTTTGTCTTTTATAAATACCCAAATTATCAATAAAGGACATATGAAGAAAGACACTATCTGCATTCAGAGAAAGAACTGATAAATAGAAGTATATATAGAATAATTTTACATATGTACACACACACACACACACATATTTGTGCCTAATGGTAGGTAGTCATCTCTGGGGAAGGAGGAAAGAAAAAAATTTACATGATTTTGGATATTTGAAAGGAATGGCAAGTTGTGTATAGTAGATTTACAGTTTCATATACAGTCATCTTTTTCATTGTGCTATGTTATGGAGATGGTTGTTCCATAAATTAAAACTAAAATTTTTTAAAAGTATATAATAAATTCAGCTTGTTAGTTCTAAAACTGTCCTGCCTGTTTTCAGTGAACCCATTTGTCTCTTAGTGCTCACTAGAGAGGTGGAGGACCAGAGATATAGATGGTTGTGTTGTGTGTATTCTATGGTGGTTTTTACTTTTTTGTTACAAGGGAAAGTTAGGGGTGGGCAGAGGAAGTGTATTGAGAAATGATGGTATAAAAAATGAAAGAAAGAAATCAAAACTTTAAAATGAAATCTATATTAATGTATTGTGGTCCACAATGCATAGAAAAATCAGCAGTCTCTGTTATGAGAGATGATTTTTGAGAGGTATAATCCAGGCCAGCTCCTGGCAAAATCATAAAAAAGACTGGTTTATTTTGGCTCTATCTCACATCCCCTTATCAGTACTTCTTTTTTCCCTTAAATTCTGTTTCCCAGAACACTCCTTATCCTGTGTCCCGTTCTTACTCTCAGCTGGTTGTTAGCCAATTACTGTTGTGATATTAGCTGATTCTGTATTAGGTGTTAACTTTTCTAGACGTATTTGTATTTTTAAAACATAGCCCTTCAAGGCCAGAATCTGCTATTTTGGAAGGAAAGTTCAGGGGAAAGGAAAGGAAGCAAGCATTTATTAAGCCCTTACTATCTGCAGGGAATTGTGTTAAGTGCTCCACAGATACTATCTCATTTTATCCTCTGAACAAACCTGTGAGGTAGGTGCTATTGTGAGCCCCATTTTACATTTGGGGAAACTGTGGCAGACAAAGGTTAAGTGTCACTTGAGCAGGATCATATAGCCAGTAAATATCTGAGATTCTCAGATATTCTTAATTACAGGCCACCTTGTTCAGTAGATCAGTCCTGTTTGACTCTTAGTAACCCCATTACCTGTTTTCTTTGCAAACATACTGGAGTGGTTTGCCATTTCCTTCTCCAGAAGATTTAAGGCAAGTAGAGATTAAGTGACTTGCCCAGGGTCACACAGCCAGTAAGTGCCTGAGATGGATTTGAATTCAGATCTTCTGACTCTAGGCACATATTCTCTCCACTGAACCATCTACGGACATTTCTTTCACCTGCATCCACTTGTCCACATAGATAATGTCCTCTGTGTTGTTAACTATTTCCCCCTTATACCACTATGACTTTGCAGGGACAAAGGATAATTGGCATATATATCTTTTTCAGTTGTCTCCCTATCCTTTTTCCCATGCCTGTTGTGGCCAAAGTAAATATATCAAGACAATATGTTGCTAATGAATGATTGCTGTCCCTTACCCTAGTGTGTGTAGGGTGGAAAGGAAAAGAGAAGGAATAAGCATTATATAGTGCCTACTGTGTGCAAGGCACTGTGCTAAGTAATTTACAAATTCCTGGGCCTCACAGCAGTCCTAGGAGATAGGTGCTATTATTAGTGCCCTCATTTTACAGTTGAGGAAACTGATACAAACAGAGATGAAGTGCCTTGCTCAGGGCCATACAGCTAGTATCTGAGATTACATGTGAACTCAGGTCTTCTTCACTCCAGGCTGAATGTTCTATCCACTGTGCCACCTAGCTACCTGAGGCAGCTAGGCAAATATTAAGAAGTGTTCTTGCTTTTTTTTTACCTCTTTGTTAGCAGACATGACCCTGAGTTTCTTGCTATCATTTCCTGTAGCAAGTATTTTTATTAATCATTGTACCAGACCAGATTATGGATCAGTACCTCTGGGCCTGGTTGGATAGGTTTTGTTTTATTTATATGGTTGACTACTATGACAGATCCATTTGCAAATCTCAAATCCATTTCTTAGTACAAATATGCATAGAAGGTACACTACTTGTTGTTCTTCCTTAGGCAGTGTGGTATAATCATAATTTGCCCAGCATGTCCAAAGAGCACAGTAGGCATTGTTCAAATAGGACAGCCTGCTTTTCCACAGTGTACATTGCAAGGGAGCTAGAGGAAAGACACTGCTGAGGTGGCAGTCAGGGGTCCTGTATTTTACTTTGGCCTTACTACTTACCAGTCAGGTGCTTCCTGAACAAGTCACTTAACCTCACTGAATCGTGTTCTTCACCTATAAAATGGGTATAATTCTTGCACTACTTGCCTAAGAATTTTTCTGAGGGCTTTGTAAATGTAGGATGCGGTTACTTATTGTTTTTTTTTTTAAATGGCTTCTATTTCCTAAACAGAGACTCTACAGGGGCGTGTAATTCATTGGTCCATAAGCGGTCTCCTTTACGTCGAAACCAAAAGACCCCGACATCCTTGACCAAACTGTCTTTACAGGATGGACAGAAAGCCAAAAAGCCAGCATGTAAATTTGAAGAAGGTCAGGATGTCCTAGCTAGATGGTCAGATGGCTTATTTTATCTTGGAACTATCAAAAAGGCAAGTTATTTAAAATAGTCTTTTGTTATCACAACTTACATTTTAACATAAAATCATATCCTAGTTTTGAGCTTATGGTTATAATTTACCATTTTTAGAAAGGTCATCTTAAATATTCTTCTGTGTTACAGATAAACATATTGAAACAGAGCTGCTTCATCATATTTGAAGATAGTTCTAAATCCTGGGTTCTCTGGAAGGACATACAAACAGGCATGTGTTATTATTTTTCTTGGAAGTGATTTATATTGAAGTCTTATTTTTTTTCAAATTGTCTCTGCCCCTGAATGTGGGTATTAAAATAGACATTAAATCTTTATGAAAGTAAGGGAAAAAATAATCAACCTAGTCCCAGATTTGTTAGATCTCGTTGGTGCTTGAGAGATCACTTGGGTTATAAAAAGTTGGATCTTTATCAGTAGAATTATAATGTGATGGAAGGTGGAAGCATTACTGACATACAGAAGAAAAAATGTTAGTTCATAGAAGTATCCACTTTTTACCTATCATAAACATTTGAAGTGACTATTATGAGCCTATGTTCATTGGAAGGTCAGATGCTTTGGCCACATAATGAAAAGACAGGACTCAATGGAAAAGACTCTGCTTTTGGGAAAGATTGAAAGCACAGGGAGAAGGGGACAGTAGAGGATGAGGTAGATAGATAATGTCACGGAAGCAACGAGCGTGAACTTGGACAGATTTGAGGAGATAGTGGAGGATAGAAGGGCCTGGCACACTGTGGTCTGTGGGGTCACAAAGAGTCAGATGTAACTCAACAACAACAACATGATCGTAGGACTTACTGAGATAGACATAAATAAGTGGTTCCCCTATTTTATAGTAGAAAATATGTGTAAATAAGAGTATGGTAGAAATTGCGGCTCCATTATTTTTGTTGCCTCTTGATGAGGTTAATCATTAGATTTGGATTGGTGTCAGAATAAATTCAGGTAACCATAGCTTTTACATAATATAAATAAAAAAAAATTTCCTGTTAACGTACATTATAATTGCAGATACTTATTTCATGGAAGTTGTTGGGATCATTGTTTCACAGCTGCCCTTTAAATCTGGTAAGTATGGGCCCTTTACAGGATGTATTCTCTCTGGAAAGTCCTTTAACTGCAAAAAGAATGTCAAAATCTCTATATCAAAATTCTAAGTATACTAATAGCTCAATGAAGCTCCATTTCTGGATTTCCTTATCAGGTAACTAATTAGGAAGGAATCTAAAGGGATTCGTGTGTAATCTAGAAAGGAAACATAGAATTGGGACTATTAGTTACTAATTTGTTTAGAACTGTGATATAGAGCTTTTTTCTTTAAACTACTTTCCATAGACGATACTACCTGTAGAGGGTCTAAAGTTAGTTTAAAACATTGTTGCTGCTGTCTCAGCTCCAGCACCTTTTCCACCAGCCCTTTTAAAAATTTAGCCACTACCACTATAGGGAGTAATTTCCCTACTTAATGGTTGCTTTATTAGAAAACTAAACTTAGCTTTTGAGTTCTGTTTTTTGGCTCCATGTCATAATTATATAGTAAATTACTAGAGCTTTCCATTTCCTGGTTTTTTGGAAGGAAGGTTTCCATGCACCAAGCACAGTTATGGTACATGTTAGATGTTTAACAAATGCTTGTTAAGTTACTGAAGAAAACTAGAAAATAGAGCTTCGTTCAGTCACATTCTGTGTAATTATATTACTTAGTTCTGAGATACTCAAAAGCTTAAATAATTCTAAAGAAGTAACCATTCTGTAATTAATCTTTTCAGAGGGATGGTGGCATACTTTGAAGATGGAACTGAGGAGGCAGTGAGAACAGACTAAGCCAGAGAATTTAAAGGGACAGCAGGGCTCCAACAACAATGACCTTAGTAGGCTGAATCATCTCTCTAATCCCAAAAGAATAATTTTCAGACTTTGATTTGTAAATTTGGATTTTTGAATTGTCTTTTCACAGTTCATTTATATTTTAGAACAGTGGTTTTCAGATTTTTTGGTCTCAGGGCCCTTTTACATTTTTAAAAATTGAGGACCTAAAAGAACTTTTTGCTAATTATATAGGTTATATCAGTATTTATTGTATTAGAAATTAAAACATGATTTTAAAATATTTCATTTAAAAATAGCCAACAAGTCCATTACAGGTTAACATGTTTTTAATAAAAAATAATTATATTTTACAAAATAAAAAATTTTTGAGAAGAGTAGCATTGTTTTTTACATGCTTTTTGCTATTCTTTTTAATATCTGGTTTAATGGAAGACAGCTGGATTCTCCTATCTGCTTTTGCATTCAGTCTATTGAAGTGTGTTGTTTTGGTTGAAGTAAAAGAAGATCTGGCCTCACATAAATACATAATTGGAAAAGGGAAGAGCATTTTAATAGGCAAAATAAGTCTTAGTATTGTTTTGATAATAATTTTGACTTTGTAGACCCCCTTAAAGGGTTTTGGGGAGCCCCAGGGAGTCCTCAGAGAACTTCTGCTCTAGAAACCTACTATCATATGATTTGCTATCAAATGATACTGTCTAATGTAGATCTTTCTTGACTAGTTTCTGTGATCCTATGATTCTCCCTCCTTGCTGCTCCCCAGACAGTAAAAGAGCATATTTGTCTAGTGTTTTTATGGTGGTAGCAAGTGGCAAGAAAAGGGAAGGTCCTGTGTGGGTCATGAAGCCCATTTGACTAGAAGACCCTATTTGCAACATTCCCTGATGGTCCAGTGTTCTTCCCCCTGCCTAGCTATGCAGCTATTGCTGCTACCAAAATGACAAAAGTTTGTGTGTGCAGTTGTGGTTCAAGCTTTAGTGCCTGTAATAGCCCCAGAAGGGGAATGTATGAAGCAAGAGACCCACTACAAAGAATGAGCCAGAGAGGTGGATATTTTAATGGCTAGAGAATGAATGTGTAGGTTTCCATGAGTAATGGATCTGTCTTCTCTGATACCAACATAAACCTTAAAAGAATAATTAAGTCATTTAAAAAGGTTGCTTTGAGATAATTTACCCAATAAAGAACTCATGCTGGTCAGTTGCCATTGTGACTATCCCTTTGCTCTCTTACATACTCCTAGATATTTTCTATTTTGTTTGGTGATTAGTTTTGGAGTTTAGGCACACTTTTCTCTGGAAGCTATAGGACGATTGAGGAATGTCATGATTAAGAGGAATGAAAACACACATTTGTAAGGTTTCTGGTATGAGAGGCCTGTTTTAGGCACTGGGTGGGCGGATAAAAGATTTAGGAAAGACACTGTTCCTATTCTCATTGAGCTTACTGGCTACAGTCCAGTAGGGAGGTAGAGCACAAACATAGATGACAAATATATAATATTGCATGATAAGTGCATTAAAAAGTCGCAAATCAAAATGCTATGTGAGTTCTGTGGGAGAAGATACAGAATTAGGAGAAGAGGAAGCATTTGAATTAGGCTTTAAAGAATGTATAGAAATTCAGTAGATGAAAAAGAAGTATATTTTTGGCATAGGAAACAATAGGAGCAAGGCACAAAGGTGAGGACAGTTGCTGCTTCATAGCAGAACAGGAGTATGAAAGTCTTGGCTTTAACTGTTGACCACTCTTTAACTTGCATTGTGATATAATTAGATCCTTTAATTTAAAACAGCAGTTTCCTTTAAGTTTTCATTAAGTATTACTTAATGAGAATTTACCTGTGTCAACAAAGCACTCTTACTACAAACCATTCTTTGGTACATGTAAATGACTTTTATGAAGCCTTTCTTTATGTATTCACTGTATTTTTTTTTTTGCTTGATTAAAAATATTTTTGATTATCTTCAGGAGCCACTGGAAGTGGGGAAATGGTCTGTACAATATGTCAGGAAGAGTATTCAGAAGCTCCTAATGAAATGGTTATATGTGATAAGTGTGGGCAAGGTAAGTGGGATATGATTTCATTAAAATGTTAATTTTTTTCTTGGTCTTAAGACAGATTTCTCTGTATGTGAGTAATAATAAAGATTTTTATACATTGATAACTTGAGGCTTTGTTTATGTTAACATTACATGTAACTTACATTATGTAATGATATGTAATACTACTTTGAATTCAAAGTAATAATTGAATTTATTGGCTCCTGAAATGTGGAATATATTTTGGCAAGAAACTGAATTCTATGTTCATCTTATTTAAGAACTAAAAAGGGATTTGGTATACACTTTTACAGTAAAAAGAAAAATATTTTATATCATTGAAGCATATTAAATGTTGTAAGCAAGATAATTTTATTTTGAAATATGTCCTTGAAATTTTGGTAAATCGCTTGTCCGTGTTTGGGCATCTAATTTGTTTTTCAAAATTTAGGATATCATCAGTTGTGCCATACACCTAATATTGATTCCAGTGTGATTGACTCTGATGAAAAATGGCTTTGTCGACAATGTGTTTTTGCAACAACAACAAAGGTATATATTTTAAGATTTTTGTGCTGTGGTCCTAAGTAAAATTTGTAAATTTTTCTATCTTAATTTTCATTTATATATAACTTGTTTGTGGAAAAATAAGAATAATTAAAGCAGTGTAGAAACAAGTGCCCTTTACGATTTATTTTATGAGGATTACTAGACTACACGTATCCTGCCAGTGTTAGTTAGCAATTCTGAAGTTGAGTTAGTGATGCAAAAGAAAAGAATGATAAAGAAGTGCTTACTAAATGTTTGTACTGACTTGTATTTTATAAATGACAGAAGCAACAAGGGTAAATTTTTAATAATAGTTCTAAAACGATATTTAAAGTGGAAATTTTGGAGACATTGTAAATCACTGATTTTTAAATGGTGTTTAAAATTTAGCCTTCACTCTTAGCCAATTGTCTTTGTCTTTATTTTTTGGAAAAAATTTAATATAGAGGGGTGGTGCGCTTAAGAAAGGACCAAATGCCAAAGCGTTACAAGTCATGAAGCAGACTTTACCCTATAGTGTGGCAGACCTAGAATGGGATCCAGGTCATAAAACCAATGCTCAACAGTGTTACTGCTACTGTGGAGGCCCTGGAGAGTAAGTAGATAATATTTTCTACTCATTTAATCACTTTAGTTTTCTCTTTTTCTCAAGTTATGGTGAGCAACAGATTAGAAGCAGACTTATCAACTAAAGTAGTCTGGGGCCACCTGATAACGTAGGGTCCGAAGGATAGATAGCTTATAAACTTCAGTAGCTCCTAAGGGCAGAGCCATCCCTTAAGGTATAGTGATTTGGGATGATGGCTTTATTCTTGTGCTTTGGAGTAGTGTATGCTGTTGCAGAAACCAGGTGATTAGTAGTTGATTAGTCACTTAAAGAGGCATCTAATAAGGGAGAAGTGTTTTTCACAGTGTTAAGAAATACCTGAAGATCACATATCTATGTGTAATGCTCCATGTGAAACACCATATTCACCTGATTGCATGCATGCACGTGCACGCGCACACACACACACCCCTACCTCTGCCATTTGTCACGCAAAGTAGTAGGATTGCTTGTTTCACACCCGCTCTTACTAGGAAGGCTTCTAGCTTATGCCTTTACAGATAGTGTTTGCTTATGTTTTTAGATAAACATGTTTTTTATCTATTTAAGGAAAGACACACTTATACTTGTATTTTCAAATTTTTGATAGAAATGAAAATATTGTGATCTTTCCATTTCAGATTTTTGTATCCATATTCATTAATGAAATTGGTCTGTAATTTTCTTTCTCTGTTTTTATTCTTCCTGGTTTTAGGTAAAAGTATTATATTTGTTTTGTAAAAGGAGTTTGGTAGAAGCCCTTCTTTGCCTGTTATTTAGTACTGGAATTAGTTGATCTTTAAATTGATCTTTAATGTTTAATAGAATTCACTTGTAAATCCATCTGGTCCTGTTGCTTTTTTCTTAGGAAGCTCATTTATGGCCTTTTAAAATTATCAGACAGATATTATAAAAATGGGAAAATAATTTCACTTCCTTTACCATTATCAACATAATTTATGTGTAAAATCCTTAATCCAGTTTTGAGAGCTTATAATAGATAACTCATGATAGATAAATTTGAAAGCCGATCATATATATGTATATACTCCTTAGAGAAAACAGTCTAATCTTGTTGCTTTTCTCAAAACTTACTATCCCATTTATTTAGAAAACTTTCACATTACATCTTTGTCTTATTGCTTCGTTTAATCATTCTCCTCTTAGGAGGATACCGTCTCATATTGTAATTTGACCACAAATATAGGTTAAAATTGTATGATGTTCATACTGCATCCTCTCAAAGTAACTCAGAGATGTTCCAGTATCAATCTGTTATTTAATAGATTCAGTATTGTACTTAAAAAACTTCTTGATTATTTGCTAGAAAAGGAAAAGAGGGACATAATTATAACAATGTCATATTATCAGAACAGAGGGAAAAACTTCCTTAGCTCTGGTTGATTCCAGGCATGAGCCATATCTGACAGCCAATCATGTAGTCACAGGGTATTAAAAGCAAGGTTTAGGTAAGAACTAAGTGTGAATTTCCTTTTCCTTTCAGAAAGGAAATAGTACAATGGGGAAATAGAGTCAGGAGGATCCTACGTATACTGTGCCACGGTCACCCTTAAAACTCTTCCCAGACACAGACATCCACCTTTAGCAGTTCTCAGACTGCAGCACATGTCATTTTCTACTGTTAACTTCATGACAGTTCAGACTGTAATTAAAAAGCTGTAATTACAGCTCAAAACAATAGTAAATTACAATCACAGAAATTTGTACAATAGCAAATTTTCACCACAGTTTAGGGCTTAAATACTTTTCCTTGATGTTTCCCTAACAGTTAACATTGTTTGTCCTTTACTTATATATTAAAACTGCCCATATTTTGGGGCTTCAGACATACAGCAAATACCTGGTAGTTGACTAGTCATTAATATGTTGAAGCTACATCTTTAAACCATTCTGTATACTTCCATAATAACCAAGAATTTCAAATGAAAATTTGCCATTATATATTATTATCTGCTTTATAATTAAATATTTAAGTTTTCAAGTATCTATTTTTTTTCACATCCTTCTGAAAGTCCAATTTATGTGTGACAGCGTCCAGATTAAAAAGCTGTTTTGTCTAACAGCATTTCTGTTAAAATGGTCTCTCAAATTTTACAGTATAAGAGAATTTAGAAATACAGTAACACAAACAATAAACTTCAGATGATATCAGTTGCATTTCCAAATTATCACATATAAAAATCATTGATCTTATTGTCTCTGACATTTTAAAACCACTTTACAGTTATCAAGTATGGAACAATTACATTTAAATAAAGAAATAATGTAGTGCTTAGCATATGGCAGTTACTATGTTAAGCATCCTACAGTCATTATATTTTTTTGATCCTCACAACAGCCCTGGGAGGTGGGTACCGTTATTATGTTTCTCTTTACAGATCAGGAAACTGGGGCAAATGGAGATAAGATAACTTGCACAAGATTACACAGTTAATAAGTTTATGCAACCAGAACAGAGAATGGTGGGCTCACCAAGGGCAGGGGCTGCCTTCCCCCCACATCATATTGCCACACTAGGCACTGCCAGGGGCACCAAAACCGTCCCAGGCAGCAGCTGGGCAGGGCCTGATGAGGGCTGGACATGCACTGGAGACATTGACCAGGCTTTGGGAGTGTGTGGCAGAGGGCACTGGCTGCAGAATGGGAATCTTAGGGGCTGGAGTGGCTGGTGCCAGGACCTTCCCATTAGTGGTAGTTCTGGTGGCCATGTAAAATGGATGCTGGTCATGGGGCCTGACCCCACCCCTCACTCTCTCACCCCCGCCAACAGTTGCAGCTTTGGGACCAGGTACTGCTGGGGTTGGGGACATTTACAGCTTCTGGGGCAGGGTGGGCAGGATAATGCCCCCAGGCTTGCCTAGAGGGTGGGTTGCAGAATGCCCAGGAGCAGAGGGCTGTTGGGGCCACTGCCAGTGGCAGGCCCCACTGCAGATGCTGTCCTGCCGTCCCCGCCGTCCCCCCCGTCCTCCCCCCCCGGTTGGCCCTCCATGGCTGGAGGGGCAGGATATAATTCATGTTTCTCTGCATTTTTCTAGCATTTATTTCAACACCTGTATTTAGGAATCTGATCTGAGATGAGAGAGGTTAATGGGTCTCAGAATTGGGGGGAGTTACAAGAGATCTCTAGGAAGGGTTAACAAGAGGTTTTTATAAAGTGTAAACCATTTATGTAAAGTGTAAACCGTTCTTTTTTTTTTTCATTTTGAGATTACTTCCAAACTAGCTGCCTTCCTTCATTGCGCTAGAACAATGAAGCTATTAATCTTGTCATTTACTTTTAACTTTTAGAATTTAATTCTTATTTTTCCTTAGAACAAATTCTGCAGTGGTACCCCAAAACTTGCTAAGATATTTCAGATGATAATGAGTTCCTGGAATTACCCCAAAGGCTCAGGAGTTCTCTCCTGCAATCTTAAAATGATTAATTTTCAAACTCCTTCATCTACTAAGATGTTTTTAGCAATTCTGCAACTTTGATTACATGACTTTATTTCTATGATTCCAACATAGTCAAAACTGAAGTGACAGGAGGAAAAGTGCCTTATAGGTTTTTTTAACTTTTCCTGTAACCTAATCTCCCTCAGAAAGCCTAAAGTGGGAGTTAGTCCTGCTTACTAGGACAATTGCTTCAACTGTGAAAGTTCATTAATCTTTCCCAGTGTTTTAAACTCTCTGGCTACAGGCCTTTGAAGTTTTTCTGACTGTCTGCATTTTAAATCTTTTAAGGTAATAGAACCTATGCAGACATTTTACACTTTACAGAGACAGAAACAGACAAAATGAGAGACAAATACAAACAGAACCGGTTCAGCTGAGGCACATACTCAGTTACTGAGGCATACCATTAGGCGTGCAATTGCAGTTGTACACAGAAAGGCCAGTTAACAGAGGTGTGCAGTTTAAGAAAGGATATCCTTGCCAGAGTGATCTGAAATGAACCAGGTCCCCAGAGGGCCCTGGAGTTTTCCTCACAAAGAATAGCAAGCTTGACCAAAGTAGGAGCTTGGAGGATTGGAGCAGGGACAAGGGCAGAGGAGTCACCAGATGAAGGGGGGTTGGACTCCAGAGAAATAATTATCCAGTGGCACCTAGTTTGTTCCCAGTGTTACTAGAGAGTCCACTGGCCCAGTTCCGTGGCCCACTTAGTAGTGTTCTTAAAGTTTATTTGGAAGACACTTGCTTGGAACTCTGAGAATATGTTCCCAGAGAAACAGGGTTATACAGTTATGTCCTGATTGGTGCATATATTCAAATTCAGGGCTATCTTACAGTATAATAAAATATAGTAACTGATTTTAGCCCAATAGAAATATACAGTGCAAATTTGAATAATGCAACCATTTCAGAGGATTCTTTAGTTGCTCTAATCTAACTGTGAATGGTGATTTGGTTTCCAGACTAGCCCATACACGTGTTTTGAACTCTCTAAACTCACACTATAACAGAAATATAGTACTAGTTTAAGCTCCATCAAAGGACTTAGAAATAAAAGCAGTGTGCAGGAAAGAAGAAGAGAAAACAGAATCAAGTCTAGGCAGACTTTTAAAGTAGATATTTTTCTTTGGGACCCTTTTTCCTTTTTTGTGTTTTTTTCATACCTTCTAGTGCCCCACTCCCTCAGGAACCCAGTTCATTCATTCTACCATAACTCCCAAAGTCTTTCATGTTGCAAAATTACATATTTCCAATTTACCTAGATCAAAATTCTTAGTTCTTTTAGTACACAGCTTGATGTGGGGGGGGGGAGGTCAGACTAATTCGTGCCGATTTGTAAATGACAAGACACCCCACCACCACCACCAAACATTCAAGGGGCAGTTACATTTAAAAAATAGTACTCTTCCAAATGGTAAAACTTCAGATAGTTATGTAAGGTGGGTACATTTGAGAAGGTAGTAAAAATACCCTGTTATAGTCAACTCTTTCTGGGAATCTATGTCAAAGATTATTAGACTTTATAAGATTGTCTTATTTATTTTTAACTTCTTCACTTTCTTTACATCTAAACCTGCATCTGATTTTTTACAGTTCTTCTATGACTGTCAAGGTTCATTCACACTGCTTCGGCAGTGGCTAATGCTTACGTGCACTATTGTTAGGTATATTCTAAATTGGAGATTGCTGACAGTCATGTGGTGAGGAGAACTCTGATGTTACCAGGAGGGAAGGGAAAAAAATGGTTCTTTTCTCAGTCATAAGTATTACAAGTCCACTATATTCTTTTCTTGTAGTATTTTGTTTTTCCAATTACATGCAAAGAAGTTTTCAACATTCATTTTTTTAATAAGATTTTGAGTTCTAGATTTTTCTCTCATCCCTCCCAGTCTCTGCTCCAAGAGGGCAAACAATTTAATATAGGTTACACATGTGCAATCAGGGAAACATATTTCCACATTAGTCATGTTGTGGAAGAAGAAACAACAGAGGGGGAAAGCCACAAAAAACAAAAGTGAAAACAATATCCTTTGATCAGCATTCAGACTTCATAGTTCTTTCTCTGGATGAGGATAGCATTTTCTGTCATGAGTTTTTTGGAATTGTTTTGGATCATTGTATTGCTGAGAAGAGGTAAGTCAATCATAGTTGGTCATCATACAGTATTGCTGTTACTGGAGTGCACTACATTTTTGGCAGAACCGTAAATTCCATCAACAAAAGTTCATTGAGAATCTTCTGTATGGCAAGTGCTAAGTTAAATAATAGAGATAAATAAGAAATATATCTCATTTTCATTGATTAATCAAAACCCATGGAATTTTTATAAGCATCTATAAAACTTTTTTCTAATATATGAAGAATGTTGCTTTTCTTAAAAGATTCTGATAGAAGAGTAATAATTTTCACATATCCTTTTCTTTTGAAGCTGGTATTTAAAAATGTTGCAGTGCTGCAAATGTAAGCAGTGGTTTCACGAGGCTTGTGTGCAATGCCTTCAAAAGCCAATGTTATTTGGTGACAGGTAAGCATTCAAACTTTACTCCTTTTCCTTTTTTAAGATATGCTTAATATTTGTGCTGTTTCAGATTGCTACAATTAACTCATGACATTGATTTTTAAGAGTTGGAATTTGATCACCCTAGAGGGGTAAAATTCCATGCTGTGCTTCAAAATTTGAAACAAATTTTGCATGGATAGATATCAGTGTAGGAAGTTTAAGAGTAGAATTGAAATAAATTTGGTTCACCATACTTGGGGAACTTTATATATAATGTTCAGTTAAAACTCGTACACGTGTAAATTGCAGGATCTTAGACTCTTAAGAGCCAGAAGAAACATCACTGATCATTTAGACAAACACCTCATTTTATATATATAGTCAAAGTGAGGCCTGTGGTTGTGAAATAACTTGCCCAGGTTCACAGTGGCAAATGGAAAGCTAAATCTGAGGTCTTTTGATTCCGAGTTTAGGAGACTTTTTATGCCGTCCTGTTGTATGCTTCTTTCCTCCTCCTGGGGTGTGAACAGTTTCATTTTCCAGATCAGTTATATACATTCATTTAATCAGAGGTTTATTCTCACCTTGTGAGTCTTTTTGATTATACTGAAATTTAGCCTGATGAACTTTACCTAGAATGTTATGTGTGCCCCCTTGGTTATTTGGTATGTATTTGATTTTTTTTCCCTTAGATTTTATACATTCATTTGCTCTGTCTGTAGTTCTGGACCAGAATACCTCAAACGTCTGCCCCTACAATGGTAAGTATAGGCATTAAAAAACAAAACAAAACAAAACCCTTTTTCCATATATTTTTACTTCCTAGGATGAAATATTTAATGTAGTTAAATAAAAATTAGTCCCTCTAGAAATCTTTCTCAGTCCCTTTTTCTTTCTTTGCTTGAGCCTGTAAATAGTTTTCATCAGGTTAGTTTTCTTTTGGCTAGGGAAATCATCGTGATTATATAGCCACTTTCTACTACATGCTCTATTTTCCAAAAGTTTTCATACTTGAATTATCCTTTTTTGTCTTAGCCATAACATATGACACAAAACAGACAGTTCTTATATTTAAAATATACCCTTGTAACTTTTAGGTAGCATTTATTCTTTACTGTAATTCTTGGGGAATGGAAAGGAAGAAAAATTTCAGAAACCATCACTATTTATAGATTAGGTTACTAATTGTTTCAGTCAGTCAGCTTTTATTAAGTGCCTACCATGTACCAGGTCCAGCTAAGCTTTGGGGATTGTTTTTAAAAAAAAAATTTTTTTTTTTTGGCTAGGCAGTGGGGTTAAGTGACTTGCCCAGGGTCACACAGCTAGTAAGTGTTATGTGTCTGAGTCAGGATTTGAACTCAGGTCCTCCTGAATCCAGGGCCAGTACTCAATCCACTGCGCCAACTAGCTGCCTCTAGCTTTGGGGATTTTTAAAGGAGCAAAAACAGGCCTGCTCTTGAGGAGGTAACATTGTAATAGGGAAAACAAAAAGCAAACAACTACATACAAACAAGTTATATAATAGAACAAGTAAGGAGTAATTTACAGACAGAAGGCACTAAAATTAAAGAGGGATCAGGAGAAGCTTCCTGTAGAAGATGGGATTCTAATTGGAACTCGAAGAAAGCCAAGAGGTGGAGATGAAGAGAAAGAGCATTCTAGGCATGGGCAACAGGAAGAGCAAATGAAGATGGAGTGTTCTTGTTCATGTAACAGCAAGAAGGCCCTGCTCAAAGAATACTTGTCTGGGTATAAGGTGTAAGAAGACTGGGATGGTAGCAAGTGGGTTATGAAGGGCTTTGAACACCAAATAGAGTATTTTGTATATGATCCTGGAGGTGATAGAGAGCCACTGAAGTTTATTGATGAGTAGGTAGGTGATGTGGTCAGACCTGTGCTTTAGGAAAATGAGTTTGGCAGCTGAATGGAGGATGAGTTGAGTAGGGAGAGATTTGAGAAAAGTAGACCTACCTACCAGCAAACTATCACAGTATCTAGGTTGGAGGGCTTTCGCTGGTGGTAGCAGTGTCAAAGAAGAGAAGGGGGCATATTTGAGAGATGTTGCAAAGGTGAAATCAATAGGCTTTGACATCCATTGGATATAGGAGTGAGAGATAGTGAAGAGTTGGGGATGACACTTAAGTTATAAGCCTGAAAGCCTGGGAGAATAATGATAGTGCCTTTGACAGTAATAGGGAAGTTTGGAAGGGTGGGGCTAAGGGAGAAAAATAATGAGTTTTAGTTTTGAACATGTTGAATTTAAGATGTCTATTAGACGTCCAGTTCAAGATGTCAGAAAGACAGAGATGTAAGATTGAAGATCATCAGGGAGGTCAGAGCTGGGTAGGTAGATTTGAGAATCATCAACATGGAGAGATGAAAATTAAATATTTGGGAGCTGATAAGATCACCAAGTGAAGTAATACAGAGGCAGAAGAGAAGAGGGCCCAGGACAGAGCTCTATGGGACACCTACAGGTTGTGTTACCTGAATGAAGATACAGGAAAGGAGATTGATAAGAAGTAGTCAGGTAAGAGCAGAGCTAGGAAAGAGTAGTGTCCTGAAAATCTAGGGAGAAGAGAGTATCAAGGAGGAGGGAGTGATCACCAGTGTCAGAGGTTGCAGAGAGGACAAGAAGAATGAAGACTGAGAAAAGAAGTTAGTATTTGGATCATTGGTAACTTAGGAGAGGGAAGTTTTGGTAAAATGATGAAGTTGGAAGCTAGATTGTAGGGGGTTAAGGAGAAAAGAAGGACAGGAGTTGTAAGACAGCATTTTCAAGGAGAAACTATATATATAGCAAATAGATAATATTTGAAACCTGAATATATCAAACACTTAAAAAAAATTGATCCGTTCAAATCACTCTGTAGTGATGTAAATATTCCAAAATCAGTCTGGTGCCTAGTCCCCAAGAATTAAGGATTTTTAAAAAACTGTTGTACTTTTTATACAGGGCAAGATCTCTTACAGTGAATTACACCCAAATTCTTTTTATTGTATAAGGATTCTGTTGTATAGTAAATTGTTTGAAATAAGTTAATTTTCAGCTAGGGGCACCCAGTCTTTTTGTTCTGTATTAATTTTTGTATAACTGGCCTTTGTTTCGAGGAATCACAGAATTTTAGCATTGAAAGGGACCTTGGAGAAAGGCCCTCTCCTCCAGCTCATACCTGAAAAAGGACATATTGTACAATATACCTGTCAAATCATGACAGTTGACCCATTTACATTAATATTTCATCCTGTGACTTTTAATTGTTTGTGAAAGAAAATGTATGTGATTTCTTTAGAATGTTCAAAAGTTTGTTTTCATAAGTTTTGACAATTTCTGAATTCCAGGGTAGATATAGCACACCTTTGCCTTTACAACCTAAGTGTTATTCACAAGAAGAAATACTTTGATTCTGAACTTGAACTTATGACGTACATTAATGAGAACTGGGATAGATTGCACCCTGGAGAGGTAGGTGGCATTAGCTTTTATTAGTTGTTCTCTCTCTTTCTCTCTCTTTTTTTAGTTAGTTAAAGCAACTAAGACATAATTATAAGTATATAAACTTGCTTGAGGCCTATGTGCCTTTAGGGTCTGCAAACCTAAAGTAAAACCTATTTTTGATTCTGGGGAGAAACAACTCTAGTGAGAATATATGGGGCCACTGGTCCCATCTGTCTGCTATTACCTATTGATTATAAAAGATAGAAATAATGTTAAAAGAGACCGGAACAATTTAGAAAAAAGAAAGCCTCCCTGGTTCCATTTTATACAGCAAAGGCTGAAAATAGTGGTAAAAGATGGAACTGAGAAAACTTCTAGTTTTGGATATTAAAATAATTTATAAATTTATGTGGTGGTTTTAATGTTTGTAAAACACTTTTCTCACAATAACCTGTTAGGTGCCATAATTTTTACTATCCTCATACTACAGATGAGGAAGCGGGGGTGCTCTGAGAAGTTGAAGAGACATGCCTGTGCTTAACTAGTGAGTGTCTTGAGGCAGGCTTCCAACTTAAAACCTCTTGACTTTGAGTTCAGGAGTTATTTTTTGCTCTCTATGCCAGGCCACTTCCTTCTAGTATATGCTCTTGGTTTTGCCTTCTTTTTCTTCCAATATTGTAATTTTTCAGACTTAACTTGAGCAAGTGGAACTATGAATGAGGTTTTACCTTTCACCTTGACTCCCTTTGTAGGTTTGACTGGAATGAAAGCAAAGTTATATGCATGTCAGAGTGAGACAAGTTAGCTAGGGAAGTTGGCTGAAGTGAGGATTTTCTAGGAATTCTTCTACATTTATTTGTCTCTTTCGTTAGCAGGGAGCATGATCTTTAAGGAGATTGACTTAATTTTAGCTCGCCGCCGCCCCCCCCATCAAGGAATAGAGTATTCTTTATTACTAGGTAACTTAGCTCAGTGTAAAATATCTAGAATTGTATTTGTTTATTTTAGCCTTGCATCATCTGAAACTTTTAAGATACATATTAATGTGTACTAATTTAACAGGAATGAAAAATTTATTATTGGGGCCTGTAGATAATGAGAAATTTTTTTAAGGTAAATTAAAATCATACCAAATAGAGCACTTAATGTGTTAAAGAAAAGGCCCTTGCAAGCATTTGAAAATGGGGCTGTTTTCTGCATATTGGACATTTGAATTAAAAAGTAGTTTATTTGAAAAAAAAATGATCTTAAGTAGCTTGATAGTTAAAATGAGCCAAGTGTAGACTAAATATCACTTAAATCCCTTAATTCTCTCTGATCATTGTTAATGTGTGTAATGTTAACTCTTTTAAGTAGTATTGATGTTGTGTAATTTACCTTTTTATTTTTATATTTTTCCTTGAGGTAGAGTTTCAAAATTCTGTGATGTTATATGTTACCAGATTCTTCTCCACAAAGATTAACCCAATTTACTGTACCACTAGTGAAGTGTAAGAATACAAATTTTTCCATATTCCCACAAACAGTAGTTTTTACCTTTTAAGGGGTACTATGTAGGGTTGAGAGGCAGTTTAACAGGTATTTTAAAAATATGTCTTCAAGTTTTTCTTAATTTACATTTTCAGTGGCTAGTGGGGTTGTACATTTTTGCATGAGATGATGCACTCTCTGCATTTCCTCAGATATATTGTCTACTGACAAATTGTTAATCAGTACAGTAAGTAAGTAACATTATTAATAGTTTAAAAAAATAGGATATGAGTTGCCTTCAGTGCTGCTTCCTTCGTTGGCAAAATTTGAGAGAACAACTTAAAGTAATTTGTCCATCTCATAATATTTTAAATAACTATTTTTAAAATGGAAAATAAGATTAAAATGCTGGTGACTGTGATCTCTTTTTTCATTAGAAGTTTGTATATCTAGAAAACAGTCTAATATGTTCATTTTAAAATACTTTGCTTCTTCTAGGGGCTGGTACTTTCAGCACTACTGCAGTTACATCTAGATTTGACCTATATAGGATCTATCTGTTAGTACTCTTATTCTTTAAAGTGATGAAATATTTGCTTTACACACTACGACCTCAGATTTAAGACTATTTTAAAATTGATTTTAGTTGAAATATTTTCCCTATATTATGTTTTAAATATTATGGCTTAGATTTTGTTTCTATGAGAAAAATATAAAATTAATTAAAGTTGAATAATAGTCTATAAAAGAGTTCTTTTTGTGAATTTCTAAAAATTAATTTTCTACAGCTAAGGACCATCAAACTGCTTTGTCTTTGTTTCAGCTCTGAAAAAAAGATTTGCCTCACCATTGGGATTGCTGATGTGTTCTATTTTTGTAGTTTACAGATATTGTCATAAAAATACAAAAGTTCCATCAATTTCTCTTTGCTCCATAAGACTGGAAAAATAGTATTAGAAACAGTTTTAGAGTAGTGACCAAAGCTCTATTAAGACAGAGGAAAGTTTTGGTATCTTAAAGAAATGTTTCATTTAATTGAGCCATCATACTTTGGGTATATAATGTTTCAGATCTTTAGTCTAATTAAAGGTTAAGCAAAAAAAAAACACAAACCCACCTCTTTTTATTTCATCTCTTGATATTGAAGACTTTTCTAAAGTCTGTTAGTACATTATTTATTACATTAGCCATTATGGAATATCTTTTAATGGAATCATGTATGGTCTATCTTGTAATGATCAAATTACCAAATGGACTGAAAGCTTCCAATTTTTTCTGCAGTAGGCTACACAGATATTTTAACCTATGGTTATAATGGTGAGTGGCCTGTTAACTATAGAAAAGTATTATGCTTTTCTGTAATGATTATGGATACTGAATACGGGTCATGATTCTGAACATTAATTCTTATTGTTATGTAGAATTGTAGGTGGTATAGGAGATAGGACTGAATGTATACTAACCTCAAAATATACCCAGAATTCCTCTCTTAAAACTACCCTACCCCCACTTGAATCTTTGATAGAGTAAAGTACAATTTCTTACCCTCTCCTCTCTCTTAAACCCTCAGCAAACAGTCAGATAATTAGTTTAATATAGGACTTCACTCTTTTTGGCTTTAGAATATAGTAAAGACACACATACATAAATTGATCCTTCTTATTCTTGGCCCAAATCCAGGAGTAGCATAATGTAGAGGACATGGGTTCAAATTCTGACTCTTCTACTCAAGTCCTGCTTACCTTTATGACCTTAGGCAAGTCACTTTTACCTTATATCCCAAAGATCTAGAACCTAAATATTTACTAAAATTTAATAATAACTCAGGGACACAATTTCTCTTATTTTTAAAATTCCTGGTATTAGAGCTATTTAAGTGTGTGGGAAGATCTCATTTCCAAATATGTTTAGCATTTATGGCTGGAAGAGAACTGAAGGGGTCAGCTTGTTCAGGTGTCTCATTTTACTAACTCAAAAAAATGTTATCAAAGAGAAGAGATTTGACTTAAACAAGGCGACCCAGGTAGTAAATAGCAGAGGCAAAATTTAATAAATTCAGGTTCTACAACTCCAGATTTTGTGTTTTTTTTTTCCGCACCATATACCCTGCTGCCTCTCTTGATTGTTTCATATATAAATGATTTTTTCCACATGTAAAAAGTTCTCTGTTAAGTAGTTTTAGTTTTGTCACTAAGGAGCAAAATTAAGATGAATGCCTGGTTTATACAGTTCTTGCAGCCTCTTTAATAGCTGAGGAGAATCTAAAAACTCTGCTATAGAATAATAAACCTTTGTAATAGCAGACTATATAGCATTTATGTATAAACTAGTTTCCTCTTAGTTAATCTTTTTAAAGATTAGTTTATATTTATAAAGACAAATGCGTAGTTTTATTTTATTTTATTTTTTGCTTTTTGGTGAGGCGATTGAGGTTAAGTGGCTTGCCCAGGGTCACACAGCTAGTAAGTGTTAAGTATCTGAGGGTGGATTTGAATTCAGGTCCTCCTGACTCCAAGGCCAGAGCACTCTATTCATTTCACCACCTAGCTGCCTCAAAATGCATAGTTTTAAAAACGAGTTAAATATATATGAAATATTTTGAGCTTCTAGACATGTTTTTTGGTATGGATAGTTGCTACAACATCGTTTACTGATGGGAATGAGAGACTAATTTTATGACCTAGATAGAGACATAATCAAGGGCTCTAGAGCTGGATGGAACCATCTACTCCTGCCCTCCCTCTGTGTGTTCTTTGCTAAAATAGTTTGCTTTCTCAGATTAGGTTAATACTATACAAATTGTAATGAACAAATTATCCAGTAAACCAAGAGTGTCCAATCAATAAATAACAGTCCAGTCATTAAAAAGTGAAGCCTTTTCACTGGTATAAGGCACTGGTTTAAAAAGAAAAAATTATCCTTCATTTATTTATTTATTTGCTGTGTTCCCCAATTTAATGTAAAATAATTTTTAGCGTATGTTTCTTAAAACTCTGAGTTCCAAATTCTTTCTCCCTCTCTCCTCCCTTTCCCCACTTACTGAGAAAGCAAGCAATTTGACATAGGTTATACATGAAGCATTGATTTTATTAAAGCAGTGATATAAAAGCAGCTCCACAAAGAGTCTTTTCAGATTTATTTCTACAAGAGTATATAGTGTGGAGAGATATATTTGGGTTAGGATAATGGGTGAAAGAAACAGAAGTGATATTTGTTACAGGAGGGTACTATAGAATGCTTAGCTAGCAGGATGGAAGTGATTTCTTAATATAGATTAGATGGGGGCAGCTAGGTGGTGCAGTGGACAGAGCACTGGCTCTGGAGTCAGGAGGCCCTGAGTTCAAATGTGATCTCAGACCCATAACACTCACTAGCTGTGTGACTCTGGGAAAGTCACTTAACCCCAAGAGCCTCACCAAAAAAAACATACATACATAACATGTGTGTGTGTGTGTGTGTGTGTGTGTGTGTGTGTGTGTGTGTGTGTGTATGAAAACTTGCAGGAGAGAAAGTTATAATAACAATTAACGGACCTCAACTATAATATCATTTTACGTCAAATTTGATTTGTATCAGATTACATTTGCATAGTATGTATTAAATGCTTTCATGTATATTATCTCATTTGACCCTCACAACAAAAGCGTAAGGTAGGTTAAGTGGTAGTATTCCCATTTAATAGATGAAAAAGTGAAAGGTAAGCATCGTTCAGTGTCTTGCCCAAGGTCGCATAGTATTTGGCCTTCAGATTTCTAATCTGACTTTCCCTATGATGCCATGCAACCTTTTATAAGAAATCTTCTTCTAAATTCAGAATATTTGGTAAATTCCTGACTTGCCATGTTAACACTTTCATCTCTGAGAACAAACTGCTGTTTTGTATTTAATTCTGATTGACCAGCAAAAAGAAAATGGCTAGTGCTGTGGAAATGACAGAAAACTTGGATGAAAAGGACCATGATTTCTGATTTTATATTGACAGACAGGCATAATGTGCATAGTTGAATGATTTGCCTTAGATGTTAGGAAATCACATTTCAGATTCAGAGAAGAAAATAAAAATGATCCTGTTAATTACATGACTAGAAATATGTAAAAAGGGAACATTGATAGGAAAGTCTAAAAACTGAAAACCAAATTATAAACAATCCATTGAAAGGAGAGGAGAGAGAAGAGTATCTAAAGAAATCAGTGTGACTGAAGCGGGAGATATTTTGAATGCAGATTTTTCAGAGACATATACAGAAGGAAGGGCAAATAACCGCAATGATGTGTAAAAAAGAATAAATATCGATTTAGTAGAAGAATGTCAGGAAGTTAAAGGGCAAGGATAAACTGAGGCTTAAAAAAATTCTAAAGACAATCAGAAAAGCATATAAAGCCTTGTGGATCAAGGAAATAGACATATCGCTTTATGATGTAAATAAATAGTAGAAGGCAAAACAATTCTGTTATTTCTGTTTGTTGTTGTCGTTGTTTTTTCCAGCAAGAATATTCTTCAGATTGGAAAAGATACAATAATTTTGCAATTTAGTCTTAGAAAATAGGTGGAATATTGTCAGGTTTATTAGTCCTTGATATTTCTGGCCTATTTCTCCCCCATCACTTCTTGCATTATTTGACTTCAACTTTTAACCTTTTAGAGAATGGCATTATTATCCCAGAATATGTGAAGTCATGATGTAAGTAAAGGAGTATTTAGTAATTTTAGATCCAGGCCTAAACAAATAACTTCTTATGGTGGTGAGAAAACTTGTAGTTATAATTTTAGAGCTAGTGTTGTTCATCTTTGAGAAATCTTAGGAGATAGGAGAGGTATTAGAAGACTAGAAACGAGTAAATGTCATGATTTTCAAATTTCAAATAGAGGAGAATTATGAGAACGATAGGCTGGTATGTTTAATGTTGATCCACCAGCAACTTTCTGGTACAGATTTTTAAACAGGGCAAATTAACCTTACTCCCTTTTTTGTTAGAGTTACTAGTTGGTACATCAAGGAAATCCTGTAAACAAAGCATATCTTGATTTCAACAGAGCCATATTTCCCTTAAAAGTCTTATGGATAGTGAAAGGTGAACTGATGAAATATAGATGTTAGGAGAAAGCTAGCATAGCAAATTCACTAAGATTAATGAGTGGTGGGTGTTCACTTAGAGTGAAGTTGCTAAGTCAATAGGTACAAGACTGTAGCCTCTCACCTGGCCTATTCAATGTTCTTATCAGTACTTGAGTGAGCAATACAAAACATATTTATCCAGCTTATAAATGACACAAAACCAGGAAGGGTTAGTTGATTAGAGAGATGACAGAATCACAATTTTTAAGTGCTACCTATATACTGGAATGCTAAGCTGAAAATAAAATGACATTTAACAAGAATAAATAGAAAATTCTGCATTTAATCTTAATTTCAGTTCTGCAAGTATGATGTAAGGGAAATATGCCTTGCAAATTCATGTGAAATAAGTCTGTTGGCTTTAGTTGGTCACAAGTTTAATATGAAACAGTGTTGATGTAGCTGCTGATACCCCTAAGGTAAGCTTAGACTTATATGTTGGTTTTCAAATATCCAGATCAGGGGTGGGGAGCCGATGGCCTCGAAGCCACATGTAGCCCTGGAGGTCCTCAGGTGTGGCCCTTTGACTGAATCCAAACTTTGCAGAACAAATCCCCTTAATAAAAGGATTTGTTCTGTAAAACTTGGAATCAGTCGAAAGGCCGCACTGAAGGACCTAGAACGCCACAGGTTCCCCACCCTGACCAGATATTTGAAAGGCTATCACGTTGAAAAGAAATAAGGTTATTTTGCATTGCTTCGGAAGACAGATTAAGAACCAGTGCATGTAAATTCCAAGAAGGCAGATTTTGATGAAACATAAGGAAAAAAAAAACTTTGATAATCAGAGCTGTAACACATTGGAAGAGTAGTTACTTGATAAAAAATATCTGTTAAATTCATTGAATTTGTTGACCAGTGGAATCAACTTCCTTCCTCGAGGGAGTTGCTAATCAGTATTCCTAAAGCACAAATCTGACCACACTATTCCCTACTCAAGAAGCTTATTATCTCCCTAATATAAAACCTAAACTCCTGTTTGGCATTTAAATCCCTTTACAATCCAGCTGCAACCTATCTTTTCATAGTAATTTCTCATTACTCCACTTTGTGCACATTCTACACTGGAGCCAAACTGCCCTACTTTATATTCCCTATACATGATATTCCATCTTCCCTCTGTGTACTTTTGAAAAAACTGCCCCTTATGCCTGGAATACTTCTCTTCTCTGCCTCTTGGAAATACCTAACTTCTTCACAATTAACCTTTTTGGTGCTTACAACAGTAATTTCTCCCCCACCCAAAAATTGTTTTGTTTTGTTGTGTTTTTTGCATATGTTGGTGTACATTTTGCTTAATTCCTCTTTCCCCTAGTGAAAAATAAAAGCTCCATGCAGCAGGAACTGTTTTGTTTTTGTCTTTTTATTCCCTAGTACCTAACAGTGCATTTTAGGCCTTTATACAGGTTTGAATTGAATTATGATCCTAACAGATAATCTGCCAAAGATTTATCTAATTAGAACTTCTACATCCAACCCTGTGATCCTTTTACCCTTCCTCTTAAGGAAGTAACATTTCTCCATTGGCCCTTCAGAAATCCATAACAGATCTGAAAACATTAATTCATGGACTTAGGCTTCCTTAGTAGATGTTTTCAGTACACTTCATTTTGAACAATTCTTGAAAAACTCTCGGGAATTTTAGCTTATGTCAGATGAAGCACCTGACAGTTTTGATGTAGACTGAATTACATGGGGGCGGGGTGTAGCAGCTTTACTGAATGCTGGTGTCCTTTTCTATGTTATTCAGAATGATACTTATATAAGGCCTCATGATTTTAATGTGTTACTTTGTTAAATCAATTTGAATCAACCTTTGGCTTAACTAAGATTTCTTTGATGGGCCTTAAGATTAAAACATTGATTAAGAGGGAGGAAATTATCTTTTGAAAGTCCAAGTTGAGCGATATTGAAACTTTCCCAGAATAAAACAGGTTTTTTTGTTTTTTTTTTTTTGCTTTTTGGTGAGGCAGTCCAGGGTTAAGTGACTTGCCCAAGGTCATGCAGCTAGTATGTGGCAAGTCTATGAGGCTGGATTTGAACTCAGATCCTCTTGACTCTAGGGCCAGAGTTCTAACCACTGAACCACCTAGCTGCCCCTACATTAGAGTTTAAAAAAAAAAAGTTTTCAGTTTATGGTTGTAGGAAATTTTCTGCAGTACTTTGGTAGGAGCCAGGTCTAGCTGTGGTTTGAAATAGCCTCAAAACTTAAGTGCTAGATCTGCTGATACGTTTCAAAATTACAGAGGCTAATATTTCTTGCCACCTGTATTCAAGAGGAAATGTTGAATGATAAAATAGTACAAGTATCTGCCTACTTTTCCCGCTTAAATGCTTTTCTTCTGGTATTTTAAAGGTATTTGTTTTAAAGCCCATAACTAAAAGCAAGGCAACAAAATATAGTCAGACATTTTCATGATTGGCACTAAAATAATTTTAATGAAATATTTTCCTCTGATCGTAGAACTGTTTTTAAAACCATAGATCTAATTAATATCCAAAGCACCTGTATATTCTTAGTTGCTGAAATTTTAGTATGTTAAATTGTTTCTTGATACTTCACAGCTGGCAGACACACCAAAATCTGAAAGATATGAGCATGTTCTGGAGGCATTAAATGATTACAAGACCATGTAAGTTGATTTATTTTATGTATCCCCATGTGGGAGACACTTAGTAAGTATAAGGTTTGAGGGCATTGTTTAAGAGCTGTGGGGTTTAGAAGCATTATTTAAAGTAGAGGTGCATTCCATTTTAAACTTTGTCAGCCCTATTCTTTTCAGGTACCCTAAGCCTTAAGGCAAAAATGATGGCCTTTAAAGGCATAAAAATAGTAGCAATGGATAAAGTTATTTGATATTAGCTATTAGGTGGTGATGGATACTATATGTTCTTGCAGAAATGGCAAAATTTCATCATTTTCTCAGGATGGTGACATTTCTTGAAAACAATTTTCAAAATATCACTTGAAATGGTTTTTAAAATTATATAAATTTTTTTAATCTCCTTTTTAATTAACGTAGGTTTATGTCAGGAAAAGAAATAAAGAAGAAGAAACATTTATTTGGATTAAGAATTCGTGTTCCTCCTGTGCCACCAAACGTGGCTTTTAAAGCGGAGAAAGAACCTGAAGGAACATCTCATGAATTCAAAATTAAAGGCAGAAAAGCATCTAAACCTATACCTGATTCAAGGTAAAAAATTTTTCTCTGGCCTAAACTTTTTATTTTACTCATACGTAAGCTCATTTCAAGATTTAGTTGGTAAATTAATAATAAGATCTTGGCATGTTTTATTAAATAGTATTTTTGGTTTATTGATAATATAATTCAGGCATTTTTCTACTTATAAGGTCCTTTCTAAAGCCTCAGTTATTTCGTTTGAATTAATGTTACTTGGGAAGTTTTTTTCTCTCCCTACCTACACTTCTTCTATAAAGATAGCCCTTTGTCTTTTCAGTTATTTTAACTTAATCTATTTTAATGCAATCCTGTTCCCACTGGCTCTCTTCCCCTCACCCTCAATCCCACCATCCCTCTAATTTGTCACCTTTTCCTTTAGTTTGGAAAAAAATTTTCCCTTCTTTTTTCCTCCTAGTTCCTTTCTTCCTCTTCAGCTTATTTTGTTAGTTTTTTTCATTTCATTTTCTGTACCATCTTCTAAAAAGGATTTTTTTCTCTTGTTCTCTTCATTATTTTTCTTCCCTTTTTCTGTTTAGTCTTTTTTCTTTGATTCTTAGCTCTTATCGTTATTTATTTTTTCTTTAGTCTCTGTATTCTTCATGAAATTAAAACTAATAAGGCACCTATTTTGAGCTTCTTCTAAATGATTTTGATGATATTCCCTAATAGAGATTGCCTTCTGCCCCTCAGTTTTGTTTGTACTCCACTCTTAGAAATCAGTTCTTGAAGGTGATAAAGAGGATAAAATCTTGCCCTGTGGTAGGAATTTTTCTGTCTCTGATTGATTCTATTCATTACTACCCCCTACCCTCTCTCATGATAATGTTTTTCCCTTTTTGCCAAGAAATGTCTCAATCCCTGTCTTCCACTTCTGGGTATTGGTTGCCCCCAGGGGCTCTGATTCTTCTCTTGAGGTAGGATGACTAGTCTCCCTAAGCACGAAATGCCTGGAGTTTGTAAGGTCCCTACATCCTTTCATAAAATATCTCCTTTCCCCTGTGATAGTGTTGGAAATCCCCACCTACCACTGAAGTCAGAGTTCCCTCTTGGCCCCTACCCCCAGTTTCAGTTCTCCTTTTTGGCTTCTCACCCATTTACCTATAGGTCCTCTTCTTCCCAAAAGGCTACAGGAGTTATTTTCCCTTTTACTGTTGCTTTGATGAGGGTACTTCACATAGTCCCCTCAATTTTCTTCTTCCATTCTCCCATTCTGTAAATTAGTCTCAAAAAACATTAATTCACCTTTAGGTTTAGGCCATGATGTTTTTACTCCTGTTTCTTTACCAGTACTTCTATGATTTCTGCTTTCACTCTTGTTTCCTTGAGTAATTTTAGAATAGTCTATTATTTTGTTGTTCGTGTTGTAAACCTCATAGGTGTCTTTCTCTTTTTAGTTTTTTTTTCCTGAGATATAATTAATTTTGTTATTTGTGCCTTTCTTGGTTACTCTGTTTAACTTGCGTATTTATGTTTGAGGTGATGGCAGAACAATTTGTTCAGGTCTAGTTTTCTTTGTAGGAATGCTTCAGAAGCTTTTTTTATTGGATGTCTATCTTTTTTCATTAACAATTAGGCTTACGTTTGTAGAGTATGTCACCTTAGGTTGTATCATGAGCTCCTTTGCTCATTGGAACACGTTCCATTCCCTCATTCAGTTTCTGGTGGATGTTATATACATTTCAGTTATGATTATAATGTTATCTTCTCAAGCATCAGTCTTATACCTTATTTAATTCTCCCTCTGTCCCTAACATAGCAAAAACAAAAACCCTTTTTCATTGTCTTTAGAGATCCTTACTAGCTTCAGGTTATCATGAACTTTATTATTGTTAACATTACTGTGCCATGTTTTTGTATTCATTCTCTGTTAATTTCCCCTTCTTCCATCTTCCATAGATGTCTTTTTAAAATCAGACTGTTTTTGAGTTCCCTGTGTATATGTACCAATGTCTTTAGACGATTCTTCTCTTTTCCCCCCATCAGAATTGCTTCTATTTGTTATCTGAAGAATTTAATTCTTGAGAGCTTCCAATCTTTACTGGGCTGACCCTCTGCTTTAGAATTTTAGTTCAAGTTAGCCTATATATCCTTCCTCTAGACTCTTTGAAATCTTTTTTTTTTCCCCAGAAATCTGTGGTGTATGTCATACTATACCTGACTTTCTCCTCCTCTATCACAGATTCTCAGAGGGAGAGTGGTCCCTTTCTCCCAGGATTGTCATAATTTACATCAAGTTTTTCTTTGTTAGAGGCAGTGATCCAGAATGGAATTTTCCCTTCTCTACATTTTGAAGTGTGAAATTATCATTAAAGCCATTCAGGGTATTATTATCTGCTTTGATTTTGGCAAAGTGAAAGATGGTCTCTGTGCCAAGTTTATAATCTATTGCCTGACTTCATTTATCAACTAGTCAACAAGCATTTATTAAGTAACTGCTATATGTTGGGCATTGGGCTTCATGCTGAGGATACAAAGAAAATAGTGAACAATTTTTTTTACCTTTAAGAAGCTTGCAGTCTTACCAGGGGAGAAAATATGTACATCTATAAGTAGATCCAAGGAAATACAAGGTCATTTGAGGGATAAGGCATTAGCATCTGGGAGGATAAGGAAAAAGGCTTACATAGAATGTCACATTTGCAATTCTTCAAGGTGGAAGTGAGGAGAAAGTGAAAACAAGGCATGAGGATACAGCCATTTCAAAGATACAAAGAGAGTATCATGTATGAGTAGCAATAACAACCATAAGAAATATTTATTAAGGTATGTACCAGGCACGGCACTAAGCTTAAAGAACACAAATATAAGCAGGAAGCTATTCCGTTTTCTCAAAAAGCTTATATTCTAATGGAGGAAGATAGCGTTTACAAGAAAGTTGAAGGAAGAAAAGGGAAAAGGATGAAGGTATGGTAAAGAAAGTCTAGAAAGTCAGGAATGCAGCCTGGAGGGAAATGGAACCAGCCAATTAGAGGGGAGAGCCACAGGGAGGCAGGTAATTCAATGTGAGAAGTCCATGGAGTTGAGTGAAACTGTCAGGGTTAAGAGATTTTTTTTAGGGTATGTCAAAGAAAGTCAGTAATGCAGGAAGAGTGAAGATAAGTAGGCTGAGCTCTGTAGTAGAGGAGTAATATGTAATAAGACTGGAAAAGTAATGCATCCAGGTGATCTGGAAGTTATTCTAATGAAAGAATCTTTTCAATTCTACTTCTGTTGATCTTCACCCAAATTATTTTCTTCACCCATGTTTCTCTCTTTTGGTTCTTAGATTTATTCAAATGATTATATGTTCTTATTTAGATATAAAGGAACTTTGTTATAATGTGAGAAAAGTTAGAGGCACAAGCCACATGTTACTAAGGATAGTTTACCTTACTCAAGCTAGAGAGTCTAGCCTTACCAGTACAGAGGAGAGTACAACTTAAAGGTATGATGAGTCTCAGCCATAGGTAACCCATTCCCTTGTAGTCTGTAGGTCACAGTTTGATTTTGACTTTTGAAGTTACAGTTCTTTATTTATCCTATTTTTTTTAATCCTAGGTTTCCTTTAGCCCTGCCTCCAACTTTGTTGCTGGAGGAATTGAGATAATTTCCTGTTTTTTCTTAACTTCCTGTATCTGGCCTCTGTTACAGGACCTGATTCCCATTCTAGTGTCTTAGATATTCTGTATATCTCATAATTTCATGATCATTTTGCAAGAGAGGAATTTTCTATATCAGCTCATCATATTCCCTCACTGTTGCAAGGTAATCATTTTATACCTCCCTAATAAATTCACTGGGGGCAGCTAGATGGTTCAGTGGATAGAGTGTGCTGGGCCTGGAGTCAGGAAAACTCCTCTTCCTGAGTTCAAATCTGGCCTCACACATTTACTAGCTGTGTGACCCTGGACAAGTCACTTAACCCTATTTGCCTTAGTTTCCTCATCTGTAAAATAAGCTAGAGAAGGAAATGATAAAGTACTCCAGCATTTTTGCCAAGAAAACTCAAAATGGGGTCACGAAAAGTTGGACACAACTAGAAAAACGACTGAACAATAACAGCGATCAATTCAGTATCCCACTTACCACAGTGACCTTCCCAACCTTTTAACCCCTCCTCAAACCTCCCATGACTCTCCCTCTCCCACCCTATCAATCTAGAACCTTGCTTTATATTTCACTGAAAAAATTGAGGCCATACAACAAGAGCTCCCTCTTCTCCCCCTCCTCTTTGTCTCACAAGCCAGATGCTTTCTACTATCTCCTCCACCACTTTCTGATATTAAGAGTTGACCCTTTTCCTCGCCGAGACAGAGCCCTCTACATGCACAGGTGATCCCTATTCCATCCCATCTCCTCCAGCAGATTGCCCCTTCTGGCATCTTGATTTTCACTAATCTTTAATCTCTCCCTATCTACTGGATGCTTCTCTATTACCTATAAACATGAACATCCCCTAACTCAAAAAAACCCTCTCTTGATCCAGCCAGCTTAACGAGCTGTCATCTTATATCTCTGCTACCTTGGGTGGCCAAAGCTCTTAAAAAGGCCACCTGTAGATAACTGCTCTCTGCAGTCTGGATTTTGACCTCAATGTTTTACTGAAACTGCTCTCTAATGTAATCAGTGATCTCTTAATAGCCCAATCTAATGGCTTCTTCTCAGTTCTCATCCTGCTTGACATTTTTGCTGCTTTTGTTGTTGGTTTTATTTTTTTTGTTGTTGTTGTTGATTTTGGCTAGGCAGTGGGTTTAAGTGACTTGCCTAGGGTCACACAGCTAGTAAGTGTTATGTGTCTGAGGCTGGATTTGAACTCAGGTCCTCCTGACTCCAGGGCCCATGTCCACTGTGCCACCTAGCTGCCCCCATTTTTTCTGCTTTTGACACTGTCACCCCCTTCTCTGTGATAGTTTCTTTTCTCTACATTTTCCCAACACTGTTCTCGCCTGGTTTTCTTCCTGTCCACCTGACTGTTCCTTCTCAGTCTTCTTAGCTGGATCTTCATCTAGGTCATGTCCACTAAGCAGGAGTGTACCCCTTCAGCCTCTACCCTAGGCCCTCTTCTCTCTATATACGATTTCCCTAGGTGATTTCTTCAGCACCCATCATTTCAGTCTTCATCTCTGTGCAGATGATACACCCATTTATCCAGCTATAACCTCTCTGCTGACCTCAGGTCTTGTATCTCCAACTGCCTATTGGACATCTTGAACTGGATGTTTCATAGAAATCTTAAACTAGACATATCCAGACTCCTTATCCTAAACTAAACAAACACCCAGTTCTCCCTTCATACTAACTTTCTGGTTACTATCAAGGATACCACCATCCTCCCAGACACCTAGACTTTCAGCTTAGATGTTCCACCTTTCCCTCTCTCTGACTATATTCTCCTTTCTCTTCTCTGATACTGCCCAAGTCCTATTGCAGATCTTTATCGCCTCACATCTGCACTATAGCAATAGTTTTCTGGTTAACTGCAAGTACATTTCATAAAATAATTAAATAAAAGATCACTTCATTTAATAAAATTTCATTTGATAATGTATGCTCTATCTTTTTCATTGCAGGGACATAAGTAATGGTATAGAAAAGAAAGGAAAGAAAAAATCTGTAGGTCGTCCACCTGGCCCATATACAAGAAAGATGATTCAAAAGACTTCTGAACCCTCTTCTTTGGTAAGTATATGCGTGCTTATATTTTCTCCGGGTTATGTTAGGCAGGGAAAAGCATGGAAGGATTACATTCATAATTGGTAAGGTTTCTAAAACTTGTTTTAGAGTTCATGCTTCAATAGTTTTCTTATATTTGAAGGAAAAGGAATCAGTTCCAGAGAATCCTGTCTTGGATTTACCTTCCTCTATAGGGTAAATAGAACATTGTTTTTCCCCCCTTGAAATTTATTTTTGAATGTTTAATTTTTATGTAAAATATTTATTATAAATATCCTTCTCATTTACTTTTTAGGAAGCCTGATGGAACTGCACATTCATCCAATACCTCAGATGTGGATTTCACGGGTGCTGCCAGTACAAAAGAAACTACCTCATCTACTATTCCCAGGCATTATGGGTAACAACTAGCTTTGATTTATTCTTTTGTTTGAAGCAGTAGTTTTCTGTACTGATTTTCTTCAGGACTTTCTTTTTAAAGATGTAGCAGAACATTTCAGAAATTTGCAAAGCAGCACAATATGTCCTTGCTGAGAGATTTGCCATGTTTGCTGTTAAACCTGTCAGGTGTTTTCTACTTTTCAAAACATATTTGCAGTATAAATTAAATATATTAGCTTCTTCAGGGCCTGTTGCATTTTGTAGGTTTTTCGTGACTCTAACATGAAATACAGATATGGTTTGCTTTAAGAAAATCCTATTGCACAAAAATAAACCAAATATTTATTAAGTACCCATTGTTTTCCAGCCACTGTGTTAGGTCCTGGGAGAGAGAAAATGTTTAGATAAGACATGGCTTCTTGCTTATGGAAGCTTAGAGTCTCTTATAAAAATCCAATCTGAAATAAATAAATTAGGTAAACAAATTACTTTTTGCTTTGCATAAGAGTGTAATTGGGGATACAAGTTCTGAGCCCTTTGTTGTTAATCCCCAGTTGCTGCTTTGATGTGGAGTTTTAGGGGGAAAGTTGATGAGGATGAACTTCTAGATGGGCAAAAAACCCTAAAATAACTGCACTGATTGCTTAATAACAAATAGAAGGTTAGAAAATAGAAGCCTGGAAGAGGTCACTTTTCAGAAAGTGATAGGATAAGAGCCTTTTGAGCAGAGAATTCTCAGTCAGGCACAAGTTGGATTAGCTGATAGCTGATATTCTTCTTATACCCTTTAGGTTACCTGACTCCAGAAAGAGAACTCGAACAGGAAGATCGTGGCCTGCTGCAATACCACACCTGCGGAGGAGAAGGGGGCGCCTTCCTCGGAAAGCACTCCAAACGCAGAATTCTGAAATTGTGAAAGATGATGAAGGCAAAGAAGATTATCAGTTCGATGAACTTAATACAGAGATTCTTAATAATTTAGCAGATCAGGAATTACAGCTTAATCATCTAAAGAACTCTATTACCAGTTATTTTGGTGCTGCAGGTAGAATAGCATGTGGTGAAAAATATAGAGTATTGGCTCGCCGGGTGACACTTGATGGAAAGGTGCAGTATCTGGTGGAGTGGGAAGGAGCAACTGCATCCTGACTGTAGGACTGACTGAACATTATGTTCACTGCACTCGCATCTTCTGTAGGTACAGTTCAGAGCCCTGAAGGAGCTGGCTTTTACTCTCTTTCTGAAAACACACACATACACACACAACCACACAACTACACACACACACACACACACACCAAACATCACAAGGAAATATTAGCCTTAACATGTACCTGTTAACAAAATGGATATTGTCATGAAAACTATCTTTTAAAATCAGAACAGAGACTTAATTTTTTAATCTTAAGATTTGTAGATTGTTTCTAGGATAGATATTAAAATGATTCAAACTCATGCATGGTAGATAATTTTTCTAGATATTTCATTGAGTCAGTTCTTGTGATTAGTGGGTTTCAGTGCAAACAGATCAAGTAGATAGCACAAGTCTTTGGAGAAACATTGTCTGTTTTGTTACCAAAATGTTTGCAGAAATGAATTTCTATTTCAATACCTTTTAGATTTCGTAAAGTGCAGTGTATATAATGCCTACTGAAAGACTGTAAAATATTGAAATTTTTCTTTCAAGCAAAGTGTAAAAAATATATTGAGCCTGTAAATTGCTCCATGACTAGACTTCATTGTCGTCTTAATATATTCTTTGCATGTGCATATATATATATATATACATAACTATATGTATATATATATGTGTGTGATTATGTGACCTATGCAATACAAATTATGGGAATGGGCAGCTTTGGAGTATATATATATATATCCCATAATTCTTTTTTCAGGAATAGTTGCAGTATTTACACAGCAGCATTTCTTCTCAGGCTTTATCAGGTGCTGTTGCTTGCTATGTATGAAGAGAAATATGTCAAACCAGTGCAGTGTGTTCTGATGGAAGGGTGTGAACAACAGTGTTCATGGGCTTCATGTAATGCTTTTCAGTTCTGGTCCTTGTAACTCAGCTGTTCAGAACCTAAAACAAAACTCAAATATGAACATTATCTCCTTCTAGAAGTAACGTATTCAAGTTTTTGTGGCACATTATGATTGTAAATGTCTCCCAGTTTTAACAAGTCTGTAGGGATTCCACAAAAGATTCCTACAGTGTCTGTAGTGATGTTAGTCATGTTTGATAAATGTAGTATGAACAAAGTATTTTATTGCACAGGGTTCACAAACAGTATGTTGCCTGTTTAGGCTACCACTGTTTTTATTACAACATTACCTCTTGTTTTTATAAAATGTACCAAGTTTTAAATTGATAACTTTATTTTACATGTAAAAAGACAATTTTTTTTTATCACCAGTGTTAGATGTATTTTCTTTGACTTTTTCCTTTATTTTTGTTTTATTTGGGGGTTTTTTTAGCCAAAGAGTAAACAGAAGAATATTCGTATTTTGGTGGCTATTCATTTTACTCTTAAAAATGACTGATGTTGTTTAGCTTAAAAGTTGGAAATTTGCCACCAAAATGAAAAAAAAATATGTCAAATGTCATAGAAGATTGGTTAAAAATGTGGGTTAGTGTTTATTTATTCCATTAATTGATTATTTGACTGTTTTTAAAGAAAGTCGCTTTATTTCCTTAAACATCTTCAAAAGATGACTTCTTCCTGTCACATCGTAGCCAAAAGAAGCAGAGAACGTGGTTGTCCTTGCGCTTGGTTCTTGGTCAGCCAGATATAAAGGAGTTTACAAAAGTGCAAACTAAAAACTCACTTCTGTTTGCTGCTGCCAGAACCTGATTTTTCCCCCTAGCTGTTCATTTGAAGTTGCCTTTCTTGCAGCTGCAATATTTTGATAACACAGAGTTTGTGTTGATTTTTGAATGTTTGTTTAAATCTAGGGGTAATGGAAAAGTGTAAATCCCGTGTAACATGATTCACTCCACTTGTGTTCACATTATTTCATTCTCCCAAAGTCCTTTAATTCTAACTGAACACCAGCAGTATTTGTAGTAAAGCTCTCTATAATATGCTTGAAGACAATTTATCCAGCTAAACTGTCTTTAGATTTAATTATTGTGAATGTCTTTTGATTTTATCTTGGGTGGTTCACATGGCTCTGATGTTCAGTTTGTATTTTTGGAATTGCTTTACTTAGAATTAAAACAGACCAACATTAAATTGTGTGTATTTTTAAAAGAGATAATGAGTTTTGCTTTTGTATTTGCTTGAAAATACACACTGGTGCAGTGATTACTGCTCTTAGCCATGGAGGTAAGGATTTTCCAACTCCACTGCTAATATATCTAGTTCTTTTACTACCCTCATTCTCCCCCTTGCCCTCCAAAGTAAGTAAGTAATTATTTTAAGTCCATCTTGAATTGCCTGCTTAACATTTAGCCATCCTACATTTTAGATATTTGGAAATTATATATTTCCTCTCTCAAAAAAATATAACCCTATTAAATCTTCAGCTTGTTTTCCAACTTTTGCTCATATTGGGAAATCTACAAGACAGGAGGAATCAGGGTCCTTTATGTTAGGATGCTCCAGAGTTAGATTTTAAAGTTTGCTACATACTGAAAAGGAAGATGTAATACCAATTTTTAAAATTTGTTTTGTCCAGAGTGAAATTGTCGTGTTTAAGGAAGTTTATTTTTAACTGTGGCTTTCTTTATTCTGCTACTGAGAAATTACTAATCTTTGGAATCTCAGATAAATGTGATCAGAATGCAAACATCAAAATAATGCTAGTAAATACTCATGTCTTTTGTAAGATGTAATGCAGTTGTCAAGGTCTTCTATATTCTTGTATCAAACTTTGCCAAGAAGTGAGATCAAACTAGAAGTGCGAGAGACCATTTTTGTATTTTGTGTGTGTTTATGTACAGTATATGTTTGATAATGTAGAATGTACAACAACTCTTTCTTGCTGAGGCTTTTACTGTATACTGTTAGGAGACATCGGATTTGTATAAATAACAATAGGCTGTCATATATGGTGGTTATATAGATTGGGAGTGGTCTTGTGATTGATTGAAAAGGAAATGTCTTTCTGTAATTTTGAAAAGTAAATTTTTAAATGACTATTCTAGTTATACTCTTCCTTAATGGTACTTACTTGTACCAGGAAAACACAATGTTAGATGCAACAGTATACAGGTAGTTAATTCCATAGGAGCTATCTTTAAAATGTTAGTAATGCAGCAGTGTTAAGTGGGATTTAGTTATAAGGCATAATGACTTTATTACAAAACTGTATTGGTTGGAATATATTTATATGAGTTCTGCCTTAAATGTGGGAATTTTTTTTCCAAATTTTATGTGAATGCTTTCCTAAGTATACACACCTGAAAAATTTCTTCTTATTCTTTTGTGGTACTTGATCAGGCATGCTTTTTGGGGGGAAAACCACCCCCCAAATTAAACATAACTGAAGTAGAGATTTTAATGTGATTTAAGTGAGTGTTTTTCCATGGGGACAATTAAGTCATTGTTTATGTGGCATAAACATATGGTGTGGAAAGAACCATATAACATGAGCTATGGTTCTCAGAGCACAAATTAGTTCTGTTAAAGTGGTAAATTCTACCTTAATCTCAAAATTTTTTTTTGATTTAGGTTTTTTTTTTTCAGTTAACAAAATATTTTTCTTCTCTTATATTTTTCTCACTCCATTAAGAAAAAAGTGAAAAATAAAACTCTTGTAATAAATATGCAAGCAAAACAAATTCCTACATTGGCCTGTATCCAAAAAAATCTATTTTAATCTGAACGCTGAGTCCATCATCGTCAGGGAAATAAATGAGTAGCATATTGTATTGTGTATCTTCGGAGATTGTGACTGGTCATTTCATTGGTCAGAGTCTTAGTTCTTTCAAAGTTGTTTGTACAATATGGTTGTGATTGTATAAATTGTTCTTGTTCTACTCACTTCGCTTTGCATCAGTTCATCCAAGTCTTCCCAGGTTTTTCTGAAACTATCCCCTTCAGTATTTCTTATAGTACAAAAGTTTCCATTACATTTGTGTGCTGTTATTTGTTCAGCCAAATGATGGACACTCACTTAGTTTTCAGTTCTTTGAAACCCCAAAAAGTGATGCTATAAATATTTTTCTGTGTATGGGTCTTTTTCCTCTTTGATCTCTTTGGGATATAAGCCAGGTGGTATTGCTGGGCCAAAGGCTTGCACAGATTAGTAACTTTTAGGGCATAGCTCCAAATTCTCATCTTTCCATAGCCACTCCAACATTGCCATTTAACTATTTTCTCAGCTTTGCCAATCTGGTGGTGGTAGTGAGCTGGAACCTAAGAGTTACTTTAGTTTTTCATTTCTCTATTAGTGAATTGGAACATTATTTTCATAAAGGAAAGGGAGTAAACATTTGCATAGTGGCAGTTATGTGCTAAGTACTTTTTACAAATATTATCTTATTTGATTCTCACAACAACTCTGGATAATAGGTGCTATTATTATTTCAATTTTACAGTTGAGGAAACTGAAATAAACAGTTGAAGTGACTTGCCCAGCATCACACAGAGTGTGATCAGACTGATTTTAAATTTGGGTCTTTAGGACTCCAGGTCCAGTTCTACCATTGCTCCACCAGCTGCCTCTCTGCTAATATGGCTATTTATAGCTTGAATTTCTTCCTTATAAAATTACCTGTTTATATCCTTTGTTTACCATCCATTTCTTCCATATCTTGGAAATGAAACCCTTGTCAGAGAAACTTGCTTTGAGGACTTTTTCCCTCTAGTTACTTGTTTGCCTTCTAATTTTAGCTTCATTAACAGATAACAGTTTTTTGGTTTTTTTTGTTTTTGCTAGGCAATGGGGATAAGTGACTTGCCCAGGGTCACACAGCTAGTGTCAAGTGTCCCAGGCTCAATTTGAACTCAGGTCCTCCTGACTCCAAAGCAAGAGCTCTATTCACTGTGCCACCTAGCTGCCCCTTAACAGATGTAGTTATAAAGCATGTGAACTTAGGTTATCAAAACATCAAAATAAGTATGTAGGAGCAATTACTTATCCTGTTGTAATTTAAAAGTTTTCAAATTAGCAACACTTCTACTCCCATCCATCAAGCAACTGTTTATAATGTGTCTGCAGTGTTGCTAGGCCCATACTAAGACTGGAGATACAAAGACATAAATGAAGCTATCATTTTAAAACCAAAGAGGATTTGTTACTAGGAGGATGTAACATGTAAATAAAAGTATATAAAAGTATGCAGTGTAACTAGATAATTTAAAAGGGAAGCACAAGCAGCTGAGAGAGATGAGAAAAGGCTTACCATGTGGGAGGTAGAACGTGAACTGAGCTTTGAAGGAAGCTGGAGATTGTAAGAGACAGATGAGGAGAAAGTACATGTTCCGGGCATTAGGACATTCTGTTCAAAAGGGTGGGAGGGGAGAGAAAATGTGGGGGAGCAACAGAAAATAAGACTTGTTGGCTAGAAATGTATGAAGGGAATAGTCTACGATAAGCCTGGAAAGGCAGGTTAGAGGCAGGTGCTAACAAGCCTCCAAATGCCCATCAGGAGTCTGTACAGAATTATAGAAATCATAGGAAGCCACTGAAGTTTGTTGTGAATGATACGGTCAGACCAGTGCTTTAGGAATATCACCTTGGCAACTACATAGAAGATGGATTGGAGAGAAGTGTTTGTAACGCCACATGTAGGCTATGTAGCTACATGAAGAAAGGTTCCACCAGAGTGAATTTTCCGAAAGTGCTTTCTTGGTTGATGCCCTTATGATATTGTTGGGCAGTCAATGGATGGGTTAAGTTTTACTGAATTGCCATTTCCCCTTCCCCCTTTTTAAAAATATGTTATAGCTGATGGTTCACTGAGGAGGGGATAGGAAATGGACATATTCAGAAAATGAATATGATGTAAAAATAGAGAGGCAACAATATTTTGAAAAGTATCAACACTCTGCCACTAACTAGTACAAATTATAGGAGATAGCCTGAGCTTTTAGGTTGCTACTGCAGGACAAAATACTTCAATGCATAGCTTCTGTTTGCATTACCTCAGTTGAAAGCGTGGCCTAGTGCGTAGATGGCTGGCCTAGAGTCAAGAAGACCCAGGTTTGAGATCTGCTTTTGGTATAGGACTGTAGATTTAGTGATGGAAAGTGGCTTAGAGGTCTAGTTCAACCTGTTTTCAGAGAAGGAAATGGGTCAAGGCAATTAAGTGATTTGTCCAAAGTCATAAGTTAGGTGGCAGGACCAGGATCTGAATTGCCTTTTAATTTCTAATCCAATGGGAAACTACACAGACTAGCTGTGTATTCATGGGAAAGTAATTTGACCTTTCAGTGATCCCAGAGACCATGAAGAACATCACTTATACAGCAGTTGCCCATCTATGTTGGAGGAGAGAATTTCTCTGCTCAAGAGTTCCCTACACCACTGAAATCACAGGTCTGTACCAAATAGATAGGGATGACCTTCAGCAAAATTGTGAACTTTGGAGTGGTTTTGTCACATGTGTTGCCAGCTTCCCTTTCGTGGCTAATTCCTGCTGTAGGGTGCCTCCTGCCCTCCTTTTTAAGCCACTCTCCCATGCTGTTGGTTTCCTTTGAAGTTTCTGAAAAAGAAATGACATCTGTTCCCTTGGTTGATAGAATATTACTGCCCTGACGCTTGTCTTTAAGCTTAAAAAATTTATAAGATTTTTTAATAATATATTCCATACTTGATTTCTTAGAATATATTGGTTTTCTTGATGGCTAAGGGGTATAATTGTGAACATCAGTTATTACACTGCAGCTAAGTGTTTATGTTCTCAGGGGTTCTTGAGATGTATAGACTAAGTTTGTCTCTACCTAAAATGGCTCTTATTGTATGCTATTACAATTTTCCCTTTCAATAGAATTCTTCCTCTTTTTTGTTAGTGAGAACTTTTACTCAGACTCTGAAGGTGGCTATATATCTCTTTATTTGAAGTAAAGTACATGGACTTTGACAGCTGCTTTCTTCAATGTTTATTGATTTTTTGTATTTTTTAATTTGAAGTGTGGTGGTCTAAGTGAGATGTCAAACATGCATCAGCACTCCCAAGTGTTACTCAAACCAGATTAAAATGTAATTGGTAAATGTATTTTAAAATATAGTAAAATAGAAGATTGTATTTTTTAAACTAAGTATGCAGCCCAGATCCTTTCGAATGGATTAATGGCCTCATTTCTATTTGAGTTTGATATCAACAATCTAGGTTTACCAGACATTCAGAATTAGAGCTGGAAGGGACTTAGAAATAATCTAATCCAATTCCCTTCACCTGGGGACATTCAGGCCTAATTAGGCCAAATAATTTCTGGAAAGTCAGGTCACTAGAAGCTAGCAGTAGTTAAGATGGAACTAGAAACAAGATCTCCTTAATACTACATTTGCATAGTGCCTTAGACTTCCAGATCAGCAAGTGTTACTGTAATAAAATTGGAGTAGGTTGACTTATTTGGGTAGAGGGTCCCTATTTAAAATCCTTGTTGTAAGGAACACAAGAGTATAGGAGGAGTTAGCATCCAGAACATTCAGTGCCATATATGTTACGGTTTTCTGGAATCTGCAGAAGTAATGTGGGAAAGAAGGTTTGTACCAACAGAATTGGCTCGCTTTCTGCAGTTGTCATAATCCTTTATGGACTAGGAAAAAAAATATGTTTAGTAGGCATAAAATGATCACAGAATAGATGAGAATAAGACAGTCATACTTTAGCAATGATTTCAAATGAATTCTTTGGACAGCTGGAAAGCCTGAAACATCCTTAGATGATCTAGTCACTTAAATGATGAAATTAATCCTTGTTTCTCAAACTCTAAAAATTTACTTTTCAAATTATGGTTTTGTTAGAGGGAGATCTTGTTCTTTAAGAAATTAGTATCTGGAATTACTGTGTTTATAGTTACGGCTCATGTAATTTTTTGAAATGTTATCCTAAAAGGAAAAAATACACATATATTTACATATGTACATTTTCTTTCCAAATTTGATCCAGACTTAATAAGCAGAAACTTGGTAGATGTATGGTCATTCTCATAGATATAAAGTTTAAATACTATATGATAGTTATTTC